TCTTGGTTCTGCTGACCCAGGAGCCTCTCGCCCACCTTGGAGGTGGCAGGGAGGAGTGGATGGGAGATGGAGGATCGGGGAGGCTCCTAGTTGAGCAACTGGAGCACCTAGTGGTCTAAACTCCAGAGCTTGGTCAGAGTTGGAGGTCAGTCGGCCATAATGGTACAGAGCATGCCAGGGCCAGGATGAGGTTCCTGAGTGCTGTTCTGCAGTGACCCAGCCTCTCGGCCCACTTAAACCCCCCCAGGCTGGGGATCAGTCAATGGCAGGGCCCCCTCCAGGCCCTCAATCCATTCTTTACCTCAACTCAGCCACATAAGCTGCAACTGCTTGGTGCAGAGGGGATGCAAGCCCTCTGGCTCTGGCCACATAGTCAGATCTGCCCACAGACAAGCCCAGAGCCTGGATGCTGACTTTGTCTTGTGCTATCTGGCCAGAGCGGCCCCTCTCTACGGTGTGCATGGGCTTTCCTGTGAGGGTGTCTAGTCTTGGACCACTGGACATGAGAGCTTTGTTAGCCCACACCCCAAATTCCTGTGGGATGGGGTTCGGGCCAGGCCAAGAAAATCACAAGCTGCCTTGCACAGAGTGAGAAAGGGGAAAAGGAGGAACTTGACCCTGGGACGCGTCTCATTCCCAGCTCTGCTTTGAAGCTCCTGATGGCCCCCTTCCCATTGACACCTGGGCCTGGCCTTCTCTCTCTCCTTTCTCCTGGCTTCTCTCTAATGTGGCTTTGGTTTGGCCACGGAAGCTAAGATACCTTTGTTCTTGAGCAAAAGATTCTGGAAAATGGAGTTTTCCTACATGCACACACACACACCCGCGCGCGTGCACGCTCGTGACCTGAGGAGGCTCCCTAGTAGAGAAGCACACACTCTAAGGAATAATTATTAGCCACTATGGCAAAATTGCTTCCCTGGGAGGAAAAGTCAGCACCATAGCAGCAGGTGGTTACCATTTGGGTGTAGTGAAAGGAGCCTGAGCCAAGACAGGAAAGGTAAAGGGTCCCCTCTGGGCCCAGGGGCAGGGAGAAGAGAGGCAGCAAGGCCTTCGGTATTGAAATGTTCTCGGGGCTGGAGCTCAGGGGCTGCTTACTGTGGTGCAGGTGCCTGCCGCTCCTTTCTGGGTGCTAATCGAAGGGTCGTGCCAGCACAAGCAGTGGGCAGTCTAGATTTGCAAATAGGATTCCACAGCTGTGAAGCCGTTTGCTCTGCCCCTTCTTCAGAAGGACAGGGCCTCTGTGGTTCTCAGCTGGCCAGACAAGCCAGTGAGGATTGGCCAGAGGCTCTATGACCCACCAAAGCTGGAGGCCTCACCGTGGCCAGCAGCCCAAGTATCCAGAAATCCATGCTCTGTGAAAGGGCTCACAGGCTTAGTCCTCTTAGGGGAGAGAAGACCAGGAGGAACCATGGCCCAAACCTAGCAGGGGCAGAGGTGCTGGGAGGAGCAGGAAAACCACCGGAAGAATCCCAAGAAGTCAACTGTGGGGGCAGGAGGACAGGCCCCAAGTCTGAGAACGTGAGAAGCTGGCTATGGGGCGTCTGGGTGCACAGAGCCGGTGCTCGGCAGGAAATGCAACTGAGCTGCTAAATGAGGAGAGGGAGAAAGCAGAAAGTCCTGACACAGGGAGAAGCTGAGAGTCAGAAGCCAAAAGGAAGGGTTCAATTCACCATTAGAGGTGTCTGGGGCTGAAGCGGGGCTTGAGTCAATCTTTAGTGAGGAGACACTCTGGGGAGAGTTCTTGGGACAGAGGGTCCCCTCAAGGTAAGGGGACAGGGTGGGGTTAGCCCTGGTTCCCAGCTGGAGGTGGGGCATTCCCAGCCTCCAGTGACAACACACTTGTATTACATTTCATCCTCACAACCGTGAAATGGACCATTATTGTCCCCATTTCACAGATGAGAAAAATCAAACCTTAGGACTCTTGTCACTAATGCAAGGCCACACCACCTATTCACTTGGAGAGCCAGGCTGTGATTTCACACCACCTGACTCCAAATCTGTCTGCTCTAGGAGCCAACTCCCAACACCCACTCGCCTTTCTCTGCCTTCCTCCATGACCCTCATTTCCTGACTGCCCTCTTCGCCTGCAGCGAGGGGGTCAACTAGGGTCCTAGGGACCAGGGACCCACCATTAGTTATTCGATACCCAGGCGCTAGGCCCACCCCGAGAAGCAGAGCCCGCATGGGCACGGAGGGCTTTGAGGGAGGAGGAACTGGGCAGAGGAGTCGGTGTGGGATTTAGGGCGGGGCTGGGCCAAACCCGGGGACCACGGGGCGGCGACTTCAGCACCTTGGAGAGCGCGGGGCGGAGCTCGCGGGGCAGGGGGCGGGGCGCACGAGACCCCGGCACGGAACCCGGGGGCGCGCGCGGTGGCGCTCGCGCCAGTCCCGAGAGCGCTGCGCGGTCTGGAACTGCGCCCTGCCCTGCGCAGGTGCGCCCGCCGCTCCTTCCCCAGCCCTTTACCCGCGGCGGCGGCCTCTCGCCGCGCCCCCGCCTCCTTCCCCTCCGCTGCCGCCGCCGCCTCCGCGCCGCGCTCCGCCCGGATGGCCAGGGCTGTGCGGGAGAATGGCGGAGCGAGAGAGCGGCGGGCTGGGCGGGGGGGCCGCGTCCCCGCCTGCCGCCTCCCCGTTCCTGGGGCTGCACATCGCGTCGCCGCCCAATTTCAGGTGAGAAACTCCGGCCGCCGCGACCCGCCCTTCGGCCAAGATTGACCTGCCCGGGCTCCCCCACCCCCGCGCCCCCAGCTCACAGACCCCGGGAACGAGAGGGCGGCGTGGGGATGGAGTCTCCTTCCGAGACAGAGCGCCCAGAGCCCCCCCTCAGCCTCAGGTCCAGACTGATGGCCGCTGCATATCCGTGGTGCGGCTGCCTCCGCCATTCCGTGTCCTAGGCGAGGAGGTCGTGAGCTGGAATTGGAGGAGTGCGCGCGGAGGCCGCCTTCTCCCCGACTTTGGGCTGCGGCGAGGCCTGGCGTGTGCGTTGGGATCCCGGGGGAGGCAGGCCGTCTGGGGCTTTGCCTGTGCCCAGTCAGAAGGCTTCTGAATAGAGATGGGAGCAGGCCGGGGTGCCCCGCGGGTCCCAGTTTCCTGGGGCGACCGACAGCCTTGGTGCAGGAAGGAGGGAGTCGTAGGCCCCTCCCCCAGTCCTGCCTGGCCAGAGGGGCCCAACTCCCAGGCCTGGCGTGGCCAGGACCCTCCGTGGACTGGGGCAAGCCCTGACCTGGTCAGGTGTGTGCGGGTGCAGAAGGCCCAACCCCGAGATCCTAGGCCCGGCTGTGGGAGAGAGGGAGTCTGGTTTGGAGCACCCAGGAGTTGCCAGGGGTATTGGTGGGATGGCTCCTGCTGCGGTAGCTACGCAGGACCCTGATCTGAGCTCCTCCTTCACTCTCTCCCTGCCCCCATCTGGTGTTAGGCAGTTGGGAGGTGGAGTTCAGAGAGTGGCAGAGGGTGTTGTGGGAGAAGGGGTGAACGTCCCTCCCTCCTAACCCGCCGGCTGGAGAAGAGGAAGAGGAGGGTGTCACTGCTCCGGAGCCTCCGAGGAAGAGGGCTCGGCCTTCCCCATTGTTTCTCCAGCTCATGAGCTGGCGCCTTCCCTTCTCCTGGGGCCCCCACCCCAGCCAGGCCCCAGCTGGGCTCTGGCGCCAGCCCCTCTTCAGACCAAGGGGTTGCTGGCTCCCCGGCCCTCAGGTGGGCGGGGACCCCTGGGAATCTCTAATGGCATCATCAGGACTAGAAACCTCCCCCAAGGCCCTGAGCTGAGCTGGAAGAGCCCAGAGGGAGGAGACCAGGTGGAGGAGGCCAAGCCTGAAGCCTCCAGGGCCGGGGGCTTTGGGGTTAGTGCCTCAGAGTAACGGGGCTGAGGTCTGAGACTGACCCCACTGGCGTGAAACACCGCCTCGACGCAAACGCTGCCTCTCCTCCAGGAGACCCCTCTGTAGTGGGAGAGCACCGAGCTTAGACAGGCCTGGCTTCAAATCCTAGCTCCACCACTTTCTAGCTGTGTGACCTGGGCAGCTTCTTGTCTTTTCTGAATCCCATCTGTTAGGTGAGCTAATTAATATTGATTCCTTAATGTGCATCAAGCGGGCGCTCAACAAGTGTCAGCCCTCCACACCAGCGGGCATTTAGATAGCTCATTAGGGCTCAAAGCGTGTTCCCTGTGCTGGCTCAGGTCACCCTCACAACCACCCTGGGCATGGGCATGGGCCCGCCCATTTTGTAGATGAGGAGACTGAGGTTCAGGAGGGCAGGGTGGCTTGCCCAAGGACCCCAAGGGAGTCAGACCCTGAGGCTGCACTGGAGCCGGCGTCTGCATGTTCATTCCACTCTACCTGCAGGCCCTGCCTCTGGCCCAGAGGACAGCTTGGCCTCCCCTACCGGCTACCCCATCCCCAGGTGACAGTGCTTTCCGTTCCGCCCCAGCCCTGGAAGGCAGGTTACCATGGACGCCTTAGGGAGAGGAGCTGACGAGGCCTGCCAGCCAGGGAGTGTGTCCAGCCCTGGGCCTGGTGGGCAAGAGTGGCAGTACACCAAGGCTGAGGCGTGGGCCCGCCCTCCAGGACTCCTCGGCCCGGCCGCCTGTGGGAATAATAAGGGCAGTGTCTCTGGCCCCTCAGGGCCCGCGCCGCCGGCTCCCCCTCCCGCCTCTCACAGACCGCTGGTGTAACCCCTGGTGGGGACCGCTCTCCTGTGGCTCTGGCCTGGGTTTCAACCCTGGCTCAGTCCTCTTAGCCGCGTGCCAGGAGTGGGTGCTGAACGGCCCGAGTCTCTGTTTCTCCTCCACAATGCCGACTTTGGCCCCTGCTCAGGGCGGTCCTAAGACTTGGATGAGACAACACATGCTGAGTGTTACAAGGGCTATGAAGAGCTGCGTTCACGTAGGGCTGTTCTTATTGTTGTTATTATTGTGCATGTGTGTGTGCACACGCGTGTGTGACCCCAGCACCACTGTCAGCTTCCAGGAGGCAAAAGGAGTCAATACCTAAACTTTGGTTTGCCCAATGCCCAGCACAGAGTAGGTGCCCAATAATGCCTTAGTGGTTTCTTATTTAATTCAAGATAAAATTGGAGAGTTCAGAGGAGAACAGTGCACACTGTCAGAGAATAACGCTGTAAACGCCGCCGCCGCTTTGGGAGGCCCTCACTTTGCCCAGCTGCCAATCTAAGCACTTTGTGTGCAAGAGCGTCTAGTCCTGCTCAGAACCACGTAAACAGTGTTATTGTTATCTCCACTTTAAAGATGAAGAAACTGAGGCATGAAGAGGTTAGATAAGTGGCAGAGCTGGGCTTTGAACACAGTCTGAGTTCAGAGCCACCCTGGAAAGAGAGGGCCTGGAGTAAAAACAACGGAGGACAGTTTGTGGAGGGGGACACATGGTGTGGATTTGGGAGAGTGGCGAGCGTTTGTTTGTTGATAGTTGGTTTAAATAAACATGTGCTTTTTTTTTTTTTTCCTGATTTTAGAAATACTCCAACCAGTTACTAGTAGTTACCTTTGGCTCTGGTGTCGGGGGAGGGATTTTCACTTACTTCACATACTTCTGTATTCTTTGACTTCTTATTTTTACCACAAGCATAGGTTACTCCTGTAACTTACAAAATAATAAAAGAAAATTGAACATGAAAGTGATACATGTTCATTTTAAGGAAATTCTATGAGAGAATTTAAAAACTTAGCAACGGATGCCTTGAGCTGGGTGGTGGGACGTAGGAGGGGGACAGTGGGACAGCCCACATGGGAGGCTCGTGGGGAGTAAAGTGAGCAGCTGCCCTGGGTGTGTGGAAGGGGAGCGCGGGTGAGAAGGGCCTTAGAGGTCAGCTCGTCCAGCCCATCCTCCTCCCCTTTTACTTAGAAGGAGACAGAGAGGGTGAGTGGCTTCCCAAGAACACACAGCAAGTTGCAGCAGAGCTGGGGCAGCACCGGGCCCTCAGGACTCCTTGCGGGGGCGGTGGTGTTCTTGCCTCCACACTGCCTGGGGGGTGAGAGACAAGGGCCCTCCCTACTCATCTCTTTACAAGGTGCTATGCACTCAGCTGTTCCTTCGTTCATTCAACAAGTACTTGTCGGAATTCCCTGGCCGTCCAGTGGTTAGGACTCCGTGCTCTCACGGCCGAGGGCCTGGGTTCGATCCCTGGTCAGGGAACTAAAATCCCATAAGCCGTGCAGCACAGCCCCCCAGAAAACCTACAAGTGCTTGCACTTTGCCAGACTCACTGAGACACTCCAGAGCCACTGATGGGGGCCTGGCCCGTCGTGCAGATGTGTGGTCAGTGTAGTCAGACAGACAGACAAGGCCTTACCAGATAGGCGGTAGGCGTGCGGGTCAGGGGCCTGGAGGAGCACTGGGTCAGGGAAGGGTCAGCTCCACCCAGGCCTGGTGGGTGAGTGAGTGTCACTCAAGAGGAGGAAGGGTGAAGAGAGAAGAGAAGAGGGAGGGGGCGGCCCGGGCGGAGGGCTCAAGGCAGGAGCGAGCCAGCAGGGTGTGCGACGCCCGGTCTGGCACAAGCACGGAGAGAGGGCATGCAGGAACGCCAAGGTCGTGTTGGGACCCTGGGCTGTCCACCTGCAAGCAGGGGCAGCCAGCAGAGGTCCAGGGAATGACAGCATCAGATGGTATCTCGGGGACTTCCCTGGTGGCGCAGTGGTCAAGAATCCGCCTGCCGATGCAGGGGACACGGGTTTGAGCCCTGGTCCGGGAAGATCCCACGTGCCACGGAGCAACTAAGCCCGTGCGCCACAACTACCGAGCCTGCGCTCTAGAGCCCGCAAGCCACAACTACTGAGCCCGTGCGCCACAACTACTGAATCCCGCGTGCCTAGAGCCCGTGCTCCGCAACAAGAGAAGCCACCGCAATGAGAAGCCCGTGTGCAGCAACAAAGAACCAGTGCAGCCAAAAATAAATTAATTTTAAAAAAAGATGGTATCTCAGCTGCCAGGTAGAGAGTGGACAGGGAGGCTGGGAGACTGCTGGGAGGGTAGATTAACCCACTTTTGAGGGACCTGGTGTGAGGGGGGAGGAGAGACAGGAGTCCAGGATAATGCTAGGTCCCGAGGGAGGGGGTGCCTTGCAGGAGATGAGAGGTTTGGCGGGCAGGGTGGTGAAGTCACTCGGAGGCCTGCTGAATCTGAGCTTGGCGATCACTGGGGGAGCCAATTGGAGGGTTCAAGCAGGCAGTTGGTTTGGGGTCTGGAGCTCAAAGGAGAGGATGGGGCTGGGGCCAAAGACCCTGGGAGTCTCCACTTAGAGAGTGCGCGGTGGCCTGAAGCCCCAGGAAGAG